CTTGTAAGCCTGGGGTCCCGGGTTCAATTCCCGGTGGTGCTCAAATTTATAACTTGTGTTGGGCAAGGCCGTGGTCTAGGCATCACGGAGTTTTCCTCCGGGGGCTTCCCCGGTTTCTCCGTGGCATTCCAACAATTACTCCATTCACACACAGAAGAAGGCAATGGCAAACCACTTCTGATCATCAGTGCCAAGAATGTATGTATGTATGAGCAGGTCCCTGACAACCTGAAGAGGTTGGAAGGATCCTGTTCATAATATATGGACCTGTCGTCAGACAGAACACTACAAATAATAATAAAGGTAACGTAATGTAATGTAATGTAAGGTAAGGTAAGGTAAGGTAATGTAATGTAATGTAAGGTAACGTACTGTAATGTAAGATAAGGTAATGTAAGGTAAGGTAAGGTAAGGTAATGTAATGTAATGTAAGGTAAGGTAATGCAAGGTAAGGTAAGGTAATGTAATGTAAGGTAAGGTAATGTAAGGTAATGTAAGGTAAGGTAATGTAAGGTAAGGTAAGGTAAGGTAATGTAAGGTAATGTAAGGTAATGTAAGGTAACTATGTAGGTAACCATTGTTGTTTACTTGTTGATAAACACATGATGTTTCCAAGGTAACATAACAATGAAGTTACACTTTTTCGTTTCCCAGGTAACATAACAATGAAGTTTGACGTTTCCTAGGTAACATAACAATGAAGTTACAAATTTTCGTTTCCCTTTTTCGTTACACATTTTCGTTACATTTTTGCCGAATGACACTGATCCTGAAATATAGACGTATTTACGTCAAAATCAGATTAGAGAAAGTGCTCCGAATAAGACACTAAATTAACACCCCGAAGGGGGATAGTTCAGTGTCTTACTCAAGATTTTAAAACGCATCCAATCCCCTGAAGGGGGAGTTAGTCAAGTGTTTTAACCCGCCCATTCGGGGCTGAGAGTTAGTTTACTTTCTTACTCAAGGGTTAAAACACTTGAATGAGACATAAACTAACCCTTCCGAAGGGGGGTTAGTTTAGTGTCTTACTCAAGAATTTAAAACGCAACCAACCCCCCCTGAGGGGGGGTTCGTCAAGTATTTTAACCACCATTCGGGGGGTTGTTTAGTTTCTTACTCAAGGGTTAAAACACTTGAATGAGACACTAAACTAACCCTTCCGAAGAAGGTTAGTTTAGTGTCTTACTCAAGATTTTAAAACGCAACAAACCCTCCCAAAGGGTCAAGTGTTTAAAACCCCATTCGGGGGGTTAGTTTAGTTTCTTACTCAGGGGTTAAAACACTTGAATGAGTCACTAAACTAAGCCCCCGAAGGGGAGTTAGTTTAGCGTGTTACTTAAGATTTCAAAACGCAA